GTCTAAAGAAGACATTTACAGGTGTGGGCAGATCATCCTGCAGTGTCTGGGTACACCTCATATCCAATCATAAGTCCTTATGAAGGTCAGCCAGAAGAGACTTGAGAAACACAGAAGAGAAGGTGAAGTGGAATCAGCAAGAATTGATGTGGCCCCAAAATAACATCTGCTGGAGGAGGCAAGGACAGGCTCTCCAGCACAGCCTCCAAGTACAGTCCCAGTGACACCTGGATTTTGGCTCTGTGAAATTGATATTGAATTTTTGGATTCCAGAAGTATGTGAGAGTAAATTTATGTTCTATTAAGCCATCAGGTTTGTTGTAACTCGTTATGGCAGTCCTTAAAAAAATGATACAACCATACAAATTTTCACTGAGAGCCAGGTCTGGAGGTAACTGCATGCCAGGGCTGGGTAATCAGTTGGGAAAGGGGGAACCATGATTCTTCTCCTTAGGAGGCATAACAGAAGCTGTGGGAAGCTGTCATCAAATTAAATTTCAGTTATCCACCATTCTTTAGCTATTTCTAGTTTTGATTAGAAATCATTTTATCAGAGTGATAACTACACCACAAAAGTGCCAAATTGCTTAAGAAATGAAATGTCTTTTCAATTTTAAAAGAAAGCTAATGACTTTGAAATAGACAGTGAAGATATGTATTAAAATAGATCATCAATTTTCTCAAAATATCATCTGGTAGAGTAGTCGGTTCTGTTGGTTAGGTAATTCATGGGGAGAAAATGGACTTTCTGAATGCTATTTAAAAAGCTGTTGCTTATTGAAACCATCTCCATGTACTTGATTTGCATTATTTAATAGAGTTTTACAGCCCTTCCATAAATTTTCATTTTACATCTGAAGAAATGGAGCATCAATGATGTTGAAGAACGTTTCCTATAGATACAGGATAAGATGTGGTACATCCCAGCATGTCTCACAAGTTACTTTTCTGTTCTTTAAGAGTCTTATCAAGATAGCTGCTGGTGGGATACCCAGTCAGCTAGGCTGCTGGGTAGGAAATACGTGGTGCAGAAAAGACGAGGGGCACTCGTGGCTCCATGTGTAATGTATTTCATTATGACAGGGTTTTCTGACAAATACATAGCCAGACTAAGGGTATCCAGACTCTAAAAAAAGGCAGTTACTGTCTTCTCAATTTTTAAAAAATTATGCAATTTCATAGCCTTTTGTCATTAATTCTTATTTGTTCTAAAATATGATGCGTTTTACTTAATGAAAATTTTGGATAACCAACTTTAAATTTTATATATTAATGGTTCATGGGACTCCATAATGACTAGAATGGTTTTCCAAAGCAGCACAAAAACCCCTGGTCACAAAAATACACTGAAGTACAGAGGTCAGCTAAGATGACCAAAATTCACTGGATGGTAATCTCCTTAAAGGAGAGCAGGGGGTTCATTGTGCTCTGGGTAGAGGCATACTCGAGCTGAACCTCAGGAGGAAATGGCAGGTAAAAAGGCACAGGGAAGAACCAAATCGGTGTCTTGGAACAAAGAATGAATGGCTTAGGAGAGCACAGCTGCGAGCAGAAAGTCAACAGCTAGAAACAGTGGGATCACATTATAAAGGGAGAACAGGAAAAGCAGCAACTGCCTTTTCTGAGTACTGATTCTATGCCTGAACTCATTTAACAGTCACAACTCCATAATGGAGGCTGTGTGGGTTTATAAGAAAATAGGTCGGCATACTTGAATAGTGGGTCCCTGATTGGTGGTGCTTGAAGAGGCCATAGGGTATTTAGGAAGTGTATACTTGCTGGAGGAAGGGGCTGAGCTTTTAGAGTTATAGTATAGCCTTGCCCCGCTCCTGGTTTCTCTGCATCATGTTTGCAGGTGAATATATGCTCTCAGTTTCCTGCTCTGGCTGCCTGCAGCAGTGCCTCTCCTGCCATAATGGGTGCCTTTGGAACTGTAAGAAAAATACTACCTTCTATAAATTGCTTTTGGTTATGGTACAAAGTAAGGTAATGACCTAGTGACTGAAGCCAAAGGAGGGGATCTATCAACATATTCTAAATTTAAGAGCACAGCCATGGGTTTGCTACCTACCTGTAGTCCATTCAGCTGTAATGGTCAGAATTACATTGCACGAATAGTGCCACCAGGGACCCTGTGTGAAATACTGCTCTAAACAGAAAAAGGAACAAGCATTATAACTACCAGAGCAACCTCTAAAACCTAAGGAAGATATATGACTTAAAAACTAATAGGTTGCAAAGAGACAAAGTTGGAGAGATAGGAGTATAGCTAAAACTTTAGCCATGAGACAGTAACTATTGAAACTGTGATGGGCACTGTTGTATTCATATCTGTATATGTTTAATAGTCTCCACAACACTTTAGGAAAATATATTATGCAAAAGTGAAAAACTGTGATTATTCTTTTTTGATTTTTCAAAACAGGGTTTCTCTGTATCTTTGGAGCCTGCCCTGGAACTAGCTCTTGTAGACCAGGCTGGCCTTGAACTCACAGAGATCAGCCTGCCTCTGCCTCCCAAGTGCTGGGATTAAAGGTGTGTGTCACCATTGCCCAACTCTATTCATTAGTCTTAAAAAATCTTTTTAAATTTATTTATTTTATGTGTATTGTTTTGCCTGCATTTCTGTATGAGGGTACCAGATCCCCTAAAACTGGAGTTATAGACAGTTGTGAGCTGCCTTGTAGGTGCTGGGAGTTGAACCTGGATCCTCTGGAAGAGCAGCCGGTGCTCTTAACCTCCAAGCCTTATCTTCAGCCCCTCTATTCCAGGTATTATATATGCTTTACTGGATGACAAAAAGAATTTTTATTTTTCATGAAATTAAAACCAAACAACTCAAACCTTAAGCAGAATGTTTCAGACTCAGTATTACTGTTAAATTGACTAAAATCCCACAGTGGGCATAGTGGTGTACGTCTGTAATTAAAACATTAGTGGCACACTGTGTCTGTATGTGTAAGACAGGAGACTACATAGCTGTAGCTCAGCCTGAGATACATGGTGTGGTCCTGTCTTTAAAAAAAAGAAAGAAAATCCTGATACCTGGAATTTTCCTTGGCAATTCTGATTTTGTAGAAATGAACTGGATCTTATTTTCCAAGTGATACCAGTGCCTTTGGTGCACATTTGTAAGTCTAGAGACCACAGCTTTAAGCATTAGATTCTATAGGCTATTGTGTGCATACTAGCTGGACCCTTTCATCATTGTCTTTGGCCTGGCTGCCTCCCTACAAGCAGGATGACGTGACACTGTGTGTGGTACGTGATACTAGCTACATCAGTACAGCATGAGGTGTTCAGTTTTGTTCATATTTTGTGACTCTAATACAGGGAATTTTTCCTGGGCAGTTAAGTTTCTTGCATAGCATATACTAACATTTTACCTGTACTTTAAAAAGAGTTTTTGTTTACTTTTTTATGTGTGTGTTTTTTGAGACAGGGTTTCTCTGTGTAATAGCCTTGACTGTCCTGGAACTCATTTTGTAGACCAGGCTGACCTTGTACTCTGAGCGACCTGCCTGCCTCTGTCTCCCAAGTATTGGGATTAAAGCTATGTACCACCACCACTTGACTGCATTTTTAAAAACATCAGCCTCATGGGTGTTTTCTCCCATTTAACTCATTCATCTTCCATGTTAAGACTCTGCTAGAAGTGCCCATTTTTCTCTTAGAAGGGCAAATTCCCTGAGTGAGTGGCCTATGCATTTGCACAGGGCCACCTATACAGGGCTTCACTTGATTTACTGCTCTGCTTAAGTCTGGCCTTGTGTGTTCTTTAAGGGCAGTATGATGAGACAAATAAGTATACAATGAGCAGAGAAGATGCGTGAGTTGTTCATTTGTGCTATCAAATTAAAGAGCTCCACAAATACCAACCGAAGGATACCTACTACATGGAGATAATGCGATTGCTTCTAATTGTAACACAAAAGCAGACAAATGATGGCCTGGTACTGTTGGATTTCCTTGGAACTGTTACACATTTTTAAATGTTCAAGTGCAATAAATCATTTAAAAAGGGTTGACATTATCTCCTAAGTTATGGATAATCTGACAGTCATAACAGTCATATCATCATTAAGTTACACATAAAGAATATTTTTTGCCACACTGAATGTTATATGGTTGGTTTTGAAGCTGCTTTTGCTTCAAAAGATAGATTGATGTCATTTTAAACACTTTTCCATTGGAAGTGGACAGGTATGGTGGTATGTGCCCCGATTCCAGCATTGGAAAAATGGAGGCAGGACAGCTGCAAAGTTGAGGCCAGCCTGGGTTATAGAGACAGATCGTGTCTTGAAACATAAACTAGGATCATGTATCAGCATGTTTTAAAACATTGGAATCCACTGCTAGCATGGAGCTCTGTGTGCTCCCAAATACACTGGAGCACTTACCTTTCAGTATCTGAACTATTAAAAAATGTGGATGCAGCCAGGCAGTCTGCCAGTCCTTGATGACTCTGAGATTTCCTGGTTGTATGGAAGTGGTAGGAGGAGAAAGACTGTGGTAGTTTGAATGTAACTGGCCCCATAAGCTCATAGGGAGTGGCACTATTAGGAGGTGTGGCCTTGTTGGAGGAAGTATGTCACTGTAGGGGTGGGCTTTGAGGTCTCCTTTGCTCAAGCTACTCCCAGTGTCACAAACCACTTTTTGTTGTCTTCTGAGCAAGAGGTAGCCCGCACCGTGTCTGCCTACATATCACTATGCTCCCCGCCATGATGATTATGGACTGAACCTCTTCAACTGGAAGTGAGCCATCTCAATGAAATGTTTTCCTTATAAGATTGCCATGGTTATGTCTCTTCACAGCAAAAGAGATCCTAAAACAAAGACTGAAGACCCCACTCCCTTCCAGAGTATCATTATAATGAACAACAACAACAACAAAAAATACGTTTTTCAAGTCTTTTTATTCTTTGTGTGTGCATAGGTTCCTGTGGAGGCCAGAGGGCACTTTGGGTCCCTTGGAGTTGGAGTTATAGGTGACTGTGAGCTGCTTCATGTGGGTGCTAAAGATGAATTTGGGTTCTCTGCATTAATAGTGCATGCCCTTAACTGCTAAACCATCTTTCCAGCCCCCCAAACAAGAATTTGAAATGTTCATAAATATTCAAAGTGATGTCAGAGGAGTGCAGGTGGAGAGAGAGAGAGAGACAGGGACCTGTAGCTCCCATCACACGACAGAAAAGAGAAGCCTAGTGTGACCAGTAGGTAGAGGCAGCACACAGAGCCTGGCTGGACAAGCACTGGTAGAAAATATCAAGAAAGGATGTGTGCAGTCTCCCCTTCCTCAGAACTCTTTATTTTTCTACTTCTGGAATATCAGTACAAAAATTGCAGCCATTAAGAACATTGGGGTTGCCCACTGCCAGGACTGCAGAGGAAGGAATCAGATATCCTTAACTGAAAATCGAGTAATTTCTTCATAGAAATTGCTATATGCCTAATATTTAACAGAAGATAAACCTGTGGGATGGCTCAGTGTCTAATACCACCATGTTTCTTCTGAATTACAGGACATGCTTACAAAGGCCTCCTGGCACCCACACTGTTCCAGGCAGGGTACTGCTTAGAACAGAGGTAGATGGGAGAGACAGCTCCCAACTGTGAATAAGCAGAACAGCTAAAAGTTATTGTGAGCAGACTGGCTTTAAAAGATAAAATACAGCACGAGTCAATCTCTTAAAAAGTTGGTTTTGGCAAATGTAGAAATATCCGTACAAAGCTGGAAACAGGAAAATGATCAGGAACATGGGTTTTTACAGTAAATTAAAAAAAAGAAATGACTTAAGTGAGATATGTTTGTGGTATAGGTCATAAAAAACACAAGACTGTGTCTTTGAAAGTGTCTTCTCAAAACATATAGCCTATAAAGCTAAGGTATTAACATTATACATTGACAGTATGAAAATGTTCGCATGCAACATTTCTATGACAGAAATGCTCCCTGTCTCTATGTTATCCCATATGGAATCCACTATCAAGTGCATAATTGAAATGTGGCTAATGAAATGAAGGGTATAAAATTTTCATAACTGAGATGGTCACATGACTAGTTGTTACTGATGATGATGATGATGAGTTCAGCCATGGGTTTATTTGGGAGGACCTAATTACTGCTAAGACATTAAGGATTGGGTATAAACGTAAAAACAAAACAAAACATTTCAGACACACCTGAAAGTCTTAGCTGGTTTTGGAGATGGGGTTGGCACAACCTGTGGAGGAAAGGACTCCTGTGGTCTTCCCAACTCCTGGCTAAGGCTTTGGTCCCCAGGAGAAGCCCGAGGATGGGGCCACCCCAGGGCACCTGTGTGTTGATATCACTGCTGTGAAGCTGATGGGATGTTTATTTTCGGACAGAGTTTCCAGAGCCAGAGGAAGGTTTAGCAGAAGGAGGAGCTAAGGGCCCGGGTCCTTTCTGGCCACTGGCAGGTTGCACAGGCCCTTTCTTTTTGGGGATTAAGATCTTGTTCTTGCTCTTGAACACTTTGCTGGGGTCCAACTTATTCACAAAGGAGTCAGTCTCTTCTGTGAGCAGGCTTGTATTGTTGTAGGTGATGGGTTTGTACATACTGAACCATTGCTGTAAGGCAGAAGTGAGAAAGGGTCACAGCCTGAAGGGGAAATGGGCCGAGAGCAGTGGCACATAGGACAGACATTACAAACTGACCATCACTAACCCACATTTTTTTTTTAACTGTCAGCTGGTAAAATATATGTGATTATTTCAAAATTCAAAAAGCTACAAAATCTAATACATTTCTGGTCTACACATCCAGTGATGTAATGCTGATTTTATACATGTTTTTATGAAAAACTGCCTTAAAAACTAACAGTAAGTGATGAAAGACCCCATCAGCTCTTGGACAAGCATATCCAGTGTTTTTCAAGGCCTCCAAAATAAATGCAGTATGAGAACTACTGAGCTCACCAGAGGACAATGTCCTCCTACTTGCCATCAAAGCAGATGGTGCCCACCATGGAAATTCCAGGTGGTGTGGCAGAGGTCAGTGCAGAACTTCCATATGGGAAGCTGTGTGCTGGTACTCTATACCTGCAGTTGCTCAGAAAGCTATGGAAAAAAGGACAGTCACATTTTCTTTTTCTTTTGTGCCACTGTTCGACCAAAACACCTCACAGTATTAATTACATGGAAGCTGTCCTTATGAAAAATATGAGAAGAATGAGGCCATTTATCTAGTAAAGCTGCAGTGGAATGCAGTCTCTAATTTTTTGCTAATTAAGTGCTATAAGAAATCACTATGATTTTTCTTTAGACAAGACCAGTTTATTCCACTAAAAAGTTCTAGCCACCACTTGGTATTTTCAGGGCAGGCTGTATAAACCTGGCATCCCTGTTTGAAATGATGCCCAGTCTGTATGCAGAAGATAGTTCTATATGTATCCATATGGGGCGCTAAGTGAAAAGATAAAAGTGCAGAATTGCTACATTTGTGTTAACACAAAGATACAAAAAAACCCCAAAACAAACAAAACTAACAACAACAAAAAACCCCATGCATGTAATGAGTCTCTCAAGGAGGGCATACATACTGACAACTGTGCCTGCCAATGAAGATGTATACCGGGAGCAGAGGGCAAGCAGAAACTTGTTAATCCTTCTAAGTGTTTGTATTGTCAATCAAAAAACAGTTATCTGGATCCAAGCCCTCAGTGACATTTAATTAAAAATAACACTCCAGTTGATCCTGATTACTTAATTAGATCCAAATCATGTGAGGCTATTAGCCAACAATGGAATCACTGCTTATTGAAAATATGGGTTCCACCCTTGATCTATTACTGCGGATGGTATTTGGAATGTAACACTTTCACAGGAAATTCTTGATACACAACGAATTTTGGGAGGGTGGTAGTTCTCTCCTTACCTTGGCCTGTGGGCTAATGCCATAGCTGGTGAAGGCATATTGCCACTGGGGCAGGCCCAGGTGGGTGATGAGCAGGCGGTAATAGGCAGTAAAAGTATCTGTGAGAAAATGCCAGTATAATGCTCTGTCCAGGAACCAGATCTCAGTGTCATGAGCTAATCCTAAACAGTATAAGAAGAAAGGGACAGCTTTATGTTTTTCCTTTTAGCTAAAATGTCAATATACATTGAAAATTAAGAGAAACTCACAGTAGAAAAGTTTTAAAGCATAAAATAAAACTCCTTCTCCTTCTATCCCCCCAGTTCTGCTCTTTCATGGCTGCTTTTTCTCATCAATTTGATACTATTAGATTTCTGATTGATCACACAATGGCTTTGACCATGAGGCATTTCATTAAGGCTATCTCAGTAGATGTTTCTCTGTTCTGTGTGGACTCAGCACTCCTTCCTTTTTTGATGGAAAGAAACTGTAAGGATCAATCTTTTAAAAAGAGGTCTCTAATCAAAAGTGCTTTGAAAATAAACAATAACAAAAATCCAATGTAAAAGAGTCTATACTAGTGGTTCTCAACTTTTCACCCATTAATACAGTTCCTCATGTTGGTGAACTCCAGCCATAAAATGATTTTTGTTGTTACTGTTATGAATCATAATGTCACTATCTATGTTTTCCGATTATCTGAGGTGATCCCTGTGAAAGGTCATTTGATTACCAAAGGGGTTGGACCCACAGATTGAGAAGCACTGGTCTATACCATCTCACTCCTGCAATCCCGCTCGTATGATATCCTATCCTAGGTCAGCTAACCCAGGCACTATTATGCCAGCTCCTATCTTAGATCCATCTGTGACCTTCCATTTCTGTCACCTTTAGCCTATTCTGGCTCATTAGCTTTCTAGATAGCTGCAACACCTTCCCCTAGGTGTTTCCCACCTGCTCTCCTCCTTCTCCAAAACTACCTGCCCATTTTCATTTGAACCTTGCCACTCTCCTTAACCAGCTTTGAACAACTCTTTAGTCTTCTAGACTCTCCAGACCTTTTTGCTCAGTGAGGAAAGCCTTTCAAGCTCTGCATGAGAGGAAGTGGCTGCATCTCTTTTGAATGAGATGAGCACAGGCTAACCACTTAAGGTCATTCAAAGGGAACTGTCATAACCACAAATCAGTTGAACTTTTTCATGACAATGGCTTCTATCCATCTGTCCCTCTGCTTTGTTATCCCTTTCACTCCTTCCTCATATGTAATTCCAATCACTGTTTACAATGCAGCTCCAAGTCTTGCTACAGCAGCTTTACCTGGAAACAATCTCTTCTCCCCAGAGGTAATTTCTAATCTTTATGCCTCTTCGCACCACCAGAAAGAGGTAAAAAGAGCGCTTAAATGTGATCAGCTCTAGATTCAGTCTGTAGGAGCAGGCAGTGGTTTCTGTTTAGGTATACATAGTCTCTCAGTAACTATCATTTAGCCCTGCTTTCTCTTGGTTTTCAATGTGGGGACTTGAGGTCTAGTAATTCTGGTTTCTATTGCTCTTAAATGACCTACATATAAAAGTAAAAAAAAAAAAGTACCACATTTCCTAAACACTTATCAAATGCACAACCATATGAACAGAATGGGTCATTCCTGAAGCTTTTCTCATGTGTCTCACTGACTGTTCAAAGTGACTCACACAAGGAGATAGAATATAGAAATTAGCTTAGTGGGAGATGTTCAGAGAGGACCAGAGGGGCTGAGTCTTAGCACAAAGAAGAGATATGAAAGCATCTCAGAGAACTTTTTGTTCACTGATGGATGACAGGCAAGTTCAAGGAAGACCACACCCATACTGTAGAATCATGCTCTGGAAATGATCTTTACCAGGTTTCCCATGTTTGTAGACGAGGCAAACCTTCCCATTACCATTGCAAGAATCCAGTTCAAATATCACACTGCGACAGTCAAAGTGAGGCTTCTCTGGCTGGTCTTCATTGGCTGTAAACCCAGAAATCAATAGTAATGTTTAAACAAACTCAACTCAGATACAGCACTATACTACACAGCACTATATATATAATTGTGAAAAGATGAAAAAAATGGTGAAAGATTCTATGCTCTAAATGCTGTGAGATTCAATGATGGATCAGGCCTTCTTATCACCAATAGAAACTGATAGGCAATCTGGGGGAAAGAACACTGAATGGAGCCACATTAAGGTAGAGCAATATGAATGTTGGGGTGCTGAAGAAAGCCTCTTCCTTTTCCTAGGTTTACTGTGTTAAGAATGGGATGCAAGGTCTACAGGGGTGGATGAATCATAACCTTCCAGTGGTATGTATACATCTTATCATCCTCTGGTGCTGATTCCAAAATGTGCGTTATTTCTGGATTTGTTCTAATTAACCTGTTTCCCCCATTCATACTGTAGTTTCCTGACTGGTAACCTTTGATTAGATGCCAAAAATTACTGAGTGGTAGATGTTTTCTAATTTATAAGTATTCTTGGGCTTTGTTCTTAGACACAGATAAACTACTTAGAAGCAAATACTTTGGCCTTACTTTTAGGATTTTTCAGGCAGAAGCTGGGTCTGATGGTTTAGCCTCTAATACTAGCACTTGGGAGGTGGAGGCAGGGGAATTAAGAGTTCAGGGTCACCTCAGCTATATAACAAGTTCAAGACCCTGCCAGAAAAGAGAAAACATGAAGAAGTTAGGAACAGTGGGACTGTCCTCTGCCATTACCAGAAGCATAAGGTTAGTGTTTGGATGCTGTCCCAAGTCTACAGCTTCAAATGTGTGTTCCTCCTTGAAGCGTCCCCTTGGTGTTAACTCCATCAGCACACTTCACCATAGCCTCAAAAAATATAAACTATTTTGGTATAACTCTAACCAAGCAAGTGAAAGACTTATATGATAAAAACTTCAAGTCTCTGAAGAAAGAAATGGAAGAAATCAGAAAATGGAAAGATCTCCCATGCTCATGAATCATTACGATTAAGAGTAAAAAAAAAAATGACCATCCTACCAAAAGCAATTTTCAGATTCAATGCAATCTCCGTCAAAATTCCAACACAAATCTTTACAGACTTTGAAAGAACAATTCTCAACTTCTTATGGAAAAACAAACAAACAAAAAAAAAACCCTAGGATATCTAAAACAACCCTGTATAATAAAAGAAGCTACAACCTAACATAAGGGCATTTTCTAAAGGTATCATCATTTCTATTAAAAGTTGTACTACAGAACTATAGTAATAAAAGCCACATGGTATTGACATAAAAACAGACATGTTGATCAACAGGCCTGAATTAAAGACCCAGAAATAAGTTCACATACCTACAGATACCTGATATTTGATAAAGAAGTCAGAAATACTCTGGGGAAAAAAAAGCATCTTCAACAAATGATGCACATCTAACTGGATGTTAGCATGTAGATGGATGCAAATATGTTCATATTTATCACTCTGTAAAATTCAAGTCCAAGTGGATCCCAAAGACATCAACACAAAACCAGATACACTGAAACCAATAGAAAAGAATGTGGGGAGCAGTAGCCTTGAACATGTTGGAACAGGAGACAACTTTCTGAAAATAACACCGACAGCACAGTCACTGAGATAAGCAATTAATAAATAAGACCTCATGGTACTGAAAAATTTCTATTGGGCAAAGGACACCATCAGTTGGACAAAGAGGCACCTATGAAATGGGAAAAGATTTTTAACCAGTTCCACATCTGATAGAGATCTAATATTAAAAAAACCTCAAGAAACTAGATATTAAAAAAATAATCCAATTAAAAATGGGATACAGATCTAAACAGAGAATTCTCAACAGAGAAATCTCAAATGGCTGAGAAGCATCTAAGAAATGTTTAACATCCTTAGCCATCAGTAAAATGCAAATCAAAGCTACTTTAGGATTCCATCTCACACCTGTTAGAATGGATAAGATCAATAACCTAAGTGACAGCTTATGCTTTTGCAGGTGGGAGTGCAAACTTGTACAGCTACTGTGGAAATCAATGTGGAGATTTCTCAGAAAATTGGAAATCAACCCACCTCAAGATCCAGCTATACCACTCCTGGGTATATATACAAAAGATGCTCCATCCTACCACAAACACACTTGATCAACTATGTTCACTACAACTTTATTCATAATAGTCAGAAACTGGAAAAAGCCTACATTTCCCTTAATGGATAAAGAAATTGTAGTACATTCACACAATGGAGCATTACTTAGTTGTTAAAAAAATGACACCATGAGACTTGTAGGCAAAGCAAATGGATATAACTAGAAAAGATCATCCTGAGTGAGATAACCCAGAATAAGAGAAACAAAATGGCATGTATCCACTTATAAGTGGATATTATTTGTTAAGTAAATCATAACTAAGCTACAATCCATAGACCAAGAGAATTTGGAGAGGAGAGATATATGGAAATCATCAATCTCCCTGGGAAGAGGAAATAGAACAGATTCTGAGGACAGACTCGGGATGAGTGGAAGTGGGGGCATGGGGGAATCAGTTGTGTGTGTGTGTGTGTGTGTGTGTGTGTGTGTGTGTGTGTGTGTGTGT